CATTGAGTTACATGATGTAACATTTAATGTTCTTTGTAATACATCTTAATTTTTGTTGATCAATAATTAAGCAATTATGAATTTTTTTGATGAAATGGTAACACTACTTAAAATAATGTGCTGATATGTATGATATTAAGGATAAAATTAAAATATAATGAGGGTAGAGATTTAGTGCGAGAAAGAGTAATTTTGTCAATTGCTTGTCAAGTAGTTCTATCAGTTAATTTTCATGGTCTACCACTCCAAAGGAATTTAGACGTATCATGTGTGCTGTGTTTCCTTTTTTAAGATCTTTTATATAACTATGAGCCATGAACTCAAGAGAATGGCGTGAAATGAATGCCAAGAGAGAAAAAATGACTAGATATTTTAGATTTTGTTAGATACATGCAGCAACTCTGGTTCAGCCAAACTCTGTATTTATTAATAACATAATGAATAAATTTTGGATCATCAAATTGAACAGCAAATTTAGAATAATATAAATAAAGTGAAATTAAAAAAAGTAACAAAAGCGTTTATTAGGACGAATTTTAGAGATATTACATCACGTAAAGTTAAAAAGGGGTGAGTGAATTTTGTAAAAACTACGATGGAATCCAAAGAAAACGTAATTAATGAATTTCACATCATAAAAATGTGACTTGGATCATGATCCTTCAACCTAAGTCCAAAAAGGATTCAATTAGATGGGCTGTAAATAATAAATAATGGAGAAACCAGGAATAGTGTTTAAAGGATCTTCATGATGCGTCTCAATCTAGTACTAAAAAAGAATTCAACGAAGTGGGCTATAAATAAAGAGAAAATACTATACGCACGACTTTGATGCATTCCTTCGATCTAGTACTAAAAAAGTATTCAATTAGATGGAATGTGAATAATTAATAATGGAAGAGAAATTACAATACCTGGAATAACGCAGCTAGGGGATCTTTACGATACATTGGCCTAAAAAGAATTCAATGAGGTAGGCTGTAAATAATTAATAATGGAAGAGAAAATACTATATCTGGAATAACGCGCAGCTAGAGGATCTTTACGATGCGTTCCCTCGACCTAGACCTAAAAAAGATTAAATTAGAGCTGTAAAACAATTAACAATAGAAAAGAAAATATACTATACCGGAAAGTGTGCGTGAGGCAGAGTTATACAGTAGAAGAGAAATTGAAAGGTGAGGGATAAAATAAGTATCATGCAATAAAACTTACTGTTAAAGCCTCTGATAGAACACTAATCAACATGCAAGACCTAAAATGAAAGAGATTAGATTAGTATAGCCTTCTTTCACTGTAATTCTTTATAAAGAATATCTTTTTTTTCGTTGTAATAAAGTAATTATCTCTTGAATTGTAAATAACTTAAAGTGAAAGTTTATTATTCTTGTCTTTTGATTGATAGTGTGATAGTAAAACCTGTGTATTATTGAACCAAAAAGTATAATCGAATTAAGAATACCCATCATTCACCTTTTTCGAGACTAAATTCTCACGTACAAAATCACCGTATAGATCTCCAACAATATATTATTATAACATGAATACATGTACTACTTGTCAGCACCAATTACTCACAGAAGCCTTCTTTCGCAAGGGCAAACTTCTCAAAACCTGCTTTATCTGCTTAACTAAAAAATCTGAAAAAGCAGTGAAGCAAGTTCCATCTGTTGACAATAAATTAGAAAATCAATTTGAAAATAAGATGGAGGAGATTATTTTTACTGATATTATTGAATATATCTCAAATAAAATCGCTAATCTTGAGCAGGATGCCAGACTTTTTTTTAACTTATGCGTTAAGCTTAATGATGATACATTGATCACTGCTCACCATGATATGAAACTCTTGGTAAGATTGATAGTAGACGAGATCGAAGAAGGCGATGGATATAAATGGATATAAGTTACCTTAAATTGTAAACCTCAAAATTAACACACGCGTTAAATATATTAATTTTTATTTGATAGATTACAACTGGACCTACCATATCGGTATATCATTCTGGTATTGGTAAGTTCTACCTTGCTTGTTCTCAATGCTTTGAACTTGAACGCGAATATAAAGAATCAAACTGCAAAAGAATGGACCATTTTGATTGTCATAGCAAGTTGATTATCTATATTAATATGACAGCAAAAGAGATATCAGTAAAGCTTTGTCACAATATTCAGCATGAAAAGCCTATAGATCTTACAACCCCACCAGAAATAAAATATGAGATCATGGAGAACCTCTATATGGATCCTGTGCAGCTTCAGACACATCTTTGTCAAACATTCGATATTTCGCAAATTACTCCGAAGCAAATTAATTATTTGTGGTCTACTTTCTGTCAGCGTTTCTCAAATTAGATGAAGATTCTGTTATTTCTGCGCGTCACTTTTTAAAAAATCTGAATAATAATAATCAGTTTTGTTTTGAGTGGAGGAGTGAATTGGTTACAGCAATTGAATTCATAACTCCTTTGCTAACTAAACTCTTACTTGTGTTGAGTATCCATTGTGATGCGACCTACAAAACAGTTAAAAAATGATTTGAGCTCTATAGAATTATCAGTAATACTAATGGCGCAGGATTTTTAATTGCGTATTTGTTACTAAATACTACGAAAGCATTCGACAATAAAGAACAAACAGGGCTACGAACAAAAGCACTTGCCAGCTTTCTTCGCTCTCTTCACAACAAGGAGTTAGAACCGCAGTACTTCTTTACTGATAAAGATTTCACTGAGATCAATGCTGCAAAAGAAGTGTGGTCAAGTATTACCGTGCAGCTCTGTCTGTGACATGTAGAAAGGGCAATAAAAGAAAAACTTAAGAGCTGTAAGAGAATACAACGTACCCAGTATCAACCAGAGGAAGCTGTTGCGGAGTTTAGTTTTATTGATCTCACCTTCGTGCTTGATTTAAAATGTTCAGAGTCTGAGTATTATATTGTATGTTTACTGAAACTATGAAATAAAGCTATTGATCTTGTCAAAAAACATTTTAATATGCATCCAAAAATCCCTATCAACGCTACTGGACAGTTTTTGATGGCTAATGAAATCCGAAGAAGTGCAGTTCATGAAATGTATAATTTTTGCACTGAAAATAAACTTGAATTACTTTGGGCATACTTATGATCTGCGTGATATAAAATTACAAGATGGATGCTTTGGGCACGATCAATACAGATAACAATCCTGATTTGCAAGATGAATATGCTAATTGAAGCACATTGGAGAGTTGTAAAATATTGCTATCTTTACCGATTCAACAGATCACGACTTGATTATGTTGTGTGGATTATCTGCACACGTCTCCTTCCCGACCAAATCACTCGTCTCGATCAATTGCGTCTGGGTCGAATAACTCCACGTTGATTTGATGATTTTAAAAATGATTGGAAGCAGCTTAGTATGAGACAAATTGCTGATAATGATAATAATCGTTACTTTATTAATCCAACACATTGGATATGTAGCTGCCCTTTATTTCTTCATAGCCGATTTCTTATTTGTAAACACTTAGTCCATCACGTAGTTGAAAAGGTGAAATTGCTTGATCCACGAGGTATCTGGTTGATATATGAAAATTTTCAATGGCGAAAAGACTATCCTTTTCTCATTTGGAATATGGAAGAAATCAATACCTACCAGTCTTTAATTTCGCAGAATGATAACCAAGCTTTAATTTCACAGACTGAAGTTAATAATAAATTTGTTAAAATGAATGAAGATGACGACGAAGCTTTTGATCCTGAAATGCGGCAGATTTGTGAGTGCAAGGTAGCTGCCGTAAGACGTATGACAGAATATCTGGAACAAGAACTCTTAGTAAACAACTTAAATCATATTACACGCGTAGTCAACAATATGAATAAGTTGTTCACTATGTTAAATGACATTGAGAAGACACAACATAGGTGAAGATATGATCCGACGTGGCAAGGATCAACCTTATGGACATTATTCTTGCAATAAAATAAAGTTCATATTCTCTTATTATATCATAATGTAAATAAAAAATGTATATAAA